CCATAGCAACCACATGGACCCCCCTTCTCCATAGCAACCACATGGACCCCCCCTCTCCATAGCAACCACATGGATCTATGTCAACAGTAGCCTCCTCCTCAAAGCAACCACACAGGCCTATAGCAACATACCCTTCCTCATAGCAACCACATGGAGCCATAGCAACAGCAGAAACCCTCTCCATATCAACCACATGGACCTTCGGCCACAGCTTTCCTTCCCTCGCTCTCCCGGCCTGAGCTCAGGCCCCTGCCAATCCTTTGGCCCTTCACTCTCTCTGATTTCCCCAGTTCCCGCTCCCTCACCTGGTCCCCGTCTCCTCACACACCAGCGAAACCGCCATCTTGCCGGAAACCGAAGACAACCTGCCGCTGCCCTTCACGACAGTGTTGGCAACGCTTTCACGACACTTTGGGCAAGCGCCGTAATGCGGATTGAAGCAGTGCCTGTCAATCAAACAAGGTGCAAGCAAGATGAAAACCTGGAATTATATCCTGACTTTACACATATATTACTTTTAGACAAGTGCAGGAGTTCAATTAACTAAATATTGTTATTTAAAGTTTTTGAGAAGGCTTATTATAAATATATTTATAATGTACATGCAATTTTCCACCTATTATTACCAATTATAATTGATGCAATGAGATTTTATTGATTCTGTTTTGTAGTTGAGGAGAACAAAATGAACCAGGAGCTTATGTTCGGAGAGTGGTTTAACGGTGTTTCAAAACATCCTAAAGCACCTTACAATTCTTGTATTAAAATATAGTCACTGTTGTTATGGTGACGGAGCTATTAGCTAATTGTGCACAGCAAGGTTCCACAAACAACTTCCAGGTAAACAACTGTGAATTGATTTTCTATGTATTGCCGGTTGATGAATAGATGTTCGCTAGGGAGAACGCTCCTGTTCTTTAAGTGGTGCCATGGGGTCTTTTGCATCCCAGTAAATGGGCAAATGGTTCATTTGCTTCATTCAAAAAGTGCATCACGTAAACCTTCCTGCAGTTTTTGTACTGAAGCGTTAGCCAAGATTAAGCCCACACCTCAGACAATGTGACTTATACCTGTGAATTTCTGTATCCTGTCATTCAAAAAATGGGACAAGCAGAAAAGAATTTGCATTGATGTAGCACCAACAGGAATTCCTGAAGCATTTTACAGTCAATTACATATTTTTTGAATGAAGTCACCATTGTAATGTATGCAATAGCCAATTTGCACACAGTAAGATCACAAAAACAGGAATCTGATAATGTCTTGAGTTTTTGGTGAAGTTGATTGAGAGATAAATATTGGCCAGGACATCAAGGAGAACTGCTCCTCTTTGACATAATGACATGTGACTGTCAATGTCCACCTGAGATGGGAGCACTCCATATCCCCTCTCCCACAATCCTTCACCCCAACACCCCTGGGTGTTGATACAAGGTGAAATTGGGATGTTACAGATGGGTGTTCTGTGTACCACCTCTTGATTGTCTGAATTTTCAAATCCTCCATAGAATCCTCTACAGTGTGCAAAAAGGCCCTTCAGCTCAACAAGTCCACACGGACCGTCAGAGCAATCCACCCAGACCCATCCCCCTATAACCCACCTAATCTACACCTCCCTGAACACTACGGGCAATTTAGCATGGCCAATTCACCTAGCCTGCACATCTTTGGACTGTGGGAGGAAACCAGAGCACCCGGAGGAAACCCACGCAGACACGGGGACAATGTGTAAACTCCACACAGACAGTCACCTGAGGGTGGAATCGAACCTGGGTCCCTGGCACTGTGAGGCAGCAGTGCTAACCACCGTGCATCAAGGTCCAACAATGATTTTAGGATGTTTCTTGGATCTACCTTGACACAAAGGTCAAGAACCAATTGCACTCTTGCCTCTCAGTCAGCCCATTATGGTTTGAAGTCTCACTCTGGAAACATGAGCCCAATACCCAGGCTGATACTTCCAATGTAGTTCTGAGGGAGTGCTGCACTGTCGGAGCTTCCCTTTTAAATGAGACACTAAATCAAGGTGGCATCTGTATTCTCAGGTAGTCTTAAAAGATCCCATTGTGCACAAATGGTTGGCACATTTCTGACATCATAGCAAGTGTGTACATTTCAACACTTCACTGACTGTAAAGTGCTTTCGGATATGGTGGTAATGTGGAGTAAAATTATCATTTTAACTGTAATGTTGTTTCAATTTTTCCATTAAAAAATCCAAATTGAATTTTGTTTCGTTACTGAGAAAAGGTTAGTGTCATTTGCCTACATCAGAACGAGATAGAAAGGGAGTTGAAAAGTAGAGAGAAAAATGTAATGTTTCTTTCCTCATTCCAGTTGATTTCTTTTTCTTTAATGTCACAAGTTGAAGTTTGAAAGCAAGCAAAGCCTCGATGATCTAAAGAGAAAGGAAGGGCAGGGAGGAATGGAGCAAAATTAATTCAGATTGAGTTGGGTTTCTACTTTTTTCATGTAAACATTAAACAGGTCAGATGGCACCTGGTAAAGCATTGTAACAAAAAAAAACCCAAAAGGTCAAGGAAAACTAATGGAAGCTAATCAAAATGAAATCGGAATGTCATTCTGATAAGAAGACTGTGGTCTGGTGGTATTATCATTGGACTGTTTAAGCAGAGACCTAGATAATGTTTTGGAGACCTGGATTTGAATCCCACCATGGCAGATGGTGGAATTTGAATTCAGTAAAAATCTGGAATTAAGAGTCTAATGAATGGAGTTTGAATCGCTTGTTGGAAAAACCCATCTGGTTTACTAATACCCTTTAGGGAAGGAAACTGCCATCCTTACCTGGTCTGGCCTACATGTGGCTCCAGACCCACAGCAATGTGGTTGATTGTCAACCTCAATTAGGGATGGACAATAAATGATGGCCTAGCTAGCGAAACTGTCATCCGGTGAATGGATACAAAAAAAATTACTAGGGTTGTTGATCGACCAGCACTAAAATACTTCTTTTATTCTTGTCATTCTCCCTCACCAAAGATACTTCGGTGTGGGCGTAACCATGGAAGAGGGGTAGGCTGTTGGGTGCTCTGACCCACCCCCCCCCCACCCCCTCCATGGCCCACCACCTGGACCTATTGACGGTCACCTTGGTCTGGCTCAGGCACAGGTCCATGAGGAAGTCCTCAAAACCACCCAGCACCCTCCCCCACGCAGAATACCATTGATCAGGACATGGGGCTGAAGTGCATCCAAAAATTCAAAGCAGCCCCTTTAAAACCTTTGGCAAGGTTCCACATGGTAGGCTGATCTGGAAAGTTGGATCGCATGCAATCCAGGGAGAGCCAGCAAATTGGATACACAGAGGGGTCGGAAGCAGAGAGTAACACTGGAAGGATGTTTGTCAGGCTGGAGGCCCATAACTAGTGGTGTTCCTTAGGGATTAGTGCTGGGCCCATTGCTGTTTGCTATCTATATCAATGATTTGGATGAGAATGTACAACTATGATTAGTAAATAGGCGGTATTGTGGACAGTGAGGAAGGTTATCAGAAATTGCAGCAGGATCTTGATCAGCTGGGGAGGTGGGCCGAGAAATGGCAAATGGAGTTTAATATAGGTAAGTGTGAGCTGTTGCATTTGGGAAAGTCAAATCAAGGTAGGAGTTTCATGCTGAATGGTAGGGCCTTAAGGAGTGTAGTGGAAGAGAGGGACCTTGGAGTTCAGGTGCATGGTTCTCTGAAAGTGGAATCACAGGTAGACAGGGCAGTGAAGAAGGCTTTTGGTACACTGACCTTCATCAGTCAGGGCATTGAGTATAGAAGTTGGGAAGTCATGTTGCAGTTGTACAAGACGTTGGTGAGGCTGCACTTGGAGTATTGCGTTCAGTTTTGGTCACCTTGCTATAGGAGGGACGTGCAGAAGAAATTTACAAGGATATTGCCAGGACTCAAGGGACTGAGTTATAAGGAGAGATTGGACAAGCTACGACCTATTCCTTTAGAGTGTAATAGACTGAGGAGGGATCTTCTAGAAGTGTATAAGATAATGAGAGGCATGGATTGGGTGAATGCACTCAGTCTTTTTCCCAGGGTTGGGGAATCGAGGACTAGAGGGCATCAGTTTAAGGTAAGAGGGGAAAGAATACATGGAAACCTGAGGGGCAATTTTTTTGCACAGAGGGTAGTATGCATCTGGAATGAGCTGCCAGCAGAAGTGGTTGAGGCAGGTACGTTAACAACATTTAAAAGGCTTTTGGATGAATACATGGATAGGAAAGGTTTAGAAAGTTATGGGCCAAATGCAGGGAAGTGGGGTTAACGTGGATGGATATTTTGGCCGGCATGGACCAGTTTGGACCAAAGAACCCGTCTCTGTGCTGTAGGACTCTATGACTCTATAAAAAAACTAAACAGGGGCTACAAACTAAAGCCTGCGCATCCCCAGGCCCATGGCTCCAGCTCAAACACAGCAGTTAGGATTGTGGTGTCAACAGACGCCTGTTCCAGAGACCCCAGGGCCTGTTCCAGAGACCCCAGAGCCCGTTACAGAGACCTCAGAGCCCGTTCCAGAGACCCCAGAGCCCGTTCCAGAGACCCCAGGGCCCATTCCTGAGACCCCAGGACGCATTCCAGAGACTCCAGAGCCCGTTCCAGAGACCCCAGAGTCTTTTACAGAGACTCCAGAGCCCGTTACAGAGACCCCAGAGCCCATTACAGAGACTGCAGCTGACGTGAAGCAGTAACTGGAGGATCAGTGGAGGAGGAACAAGTAGAAGAGAGAAAGATGAACTCTACAGTCATAGAGTCCTACAGCATGCACACAGGCTATTCGGCCCAAACTGGTCCGTGCTGACCAAAACTCTACTCCAGTAAATTCCCACATTATATTCAGTATTTTAAGATGGTGCCAGAGTGTGGTGACACTTTGCAAATAACACACGAAAAACACTTTTCACTATATTTTTTGTATACATGCGACAATAAATCTAAATCTAATCTAAAACATTGGTTTCAATTATCTGCCGTTACCCTGCTGCCCATTACTAATTTCGCCAGCTGCATTCTCCAAGGGCCCACACTCACATGGGGCCATGACAGAGTCATGGTGGAGTCAGTATGACAGTATGATGGGCTTAAGGCTGCACATTAATATGACAAAGCCCTCAGTTGGGCTTTGTGGAACAGACTCAATGGGCCGAATGGCCTATTTCTGTTCCCATATCTAATGGTCTTCAACTGTCTTAACATCAGCCTGAGGGTTGGGGGCAGTGTGAGAGTCAGGGCGAGGGATGGAAGATTTAGGATGAGCTAATAGATAGCTGAGCAACAAGGTGATGGGGATATTCTGACTGAATGGATAGTTGAAAGGAAAAAGGAGGTCATAGTGGTGAGGGAGGACAGAATGAACAGGCATCGGGAAGATGTGCTTTAGGGAAGGAAACTGCCTTCCT